ATCTTTGAAACTAAAAAATAATATGAAAATTTATTTTATAAAAGGTATTAAATTAAGAATATTTTTGTATAGAGGATGAAATTTTGAGAAATTAATCATGTATATTAGATGCAACGATTTTTATAAATTGTTATGTAGTCATTCTTTTTAACTTGATAATTGATCCCATTGAACAGAGATTCTGACTTCGCCCTGAATAAATTCCCTCAGGTATGGTACCATCACTCTCTACGACATGACAATGGTAAAATATTCAAACCCTATCCCTTACTTTCCCTCCCCCAATAAAACAAAAAATATGATGTTCTTAATCGTTTAAAGAAGCTATCGAATAAAATGTAGCTACGACTAAATTGAAATGACGATAGGAGACCAAGTCGGATTGACAGGAGACCAAGTCGGATTTTTTTGTTTTTTCATGTTGGATTAGACTTATTTGGATTTTCATTTTTAAAATGCCGTCAGATTGGACCCCCATTTAGTAGTCCATATAAACTTTTGACCACATTAATTAGTAGGCTTTTCTAACTAATCTATTAATGTATCATATTAATGGTGGCTTGGTTGGAGAGGAGCTTACCAACCCCAAAAATATTTATCAATTGTGTTAGTTAGCCAACTTTGCTAATAAACTTTATTTTTTTACGTTAGATTGATAATAAACTCGTTGAATCTCATTGTTTAATGCAATGGTAGTAGTGAATTAGATTGATTAAATCAGTATTTTTAGTATTATCGTTACAAGAATTAAGGTCTTTTGAGACAAGTTTTTATGGCGATAACGTTCACCATCACAAAAAAACGTATTTTGGAGATAATTTTTTTTGGTGGCAGTTGTCATGCCATAAAAGATTTATTTGTTGCGGTAAATATTATTTGAGACAGGATGTTGCCACCACAAAGATTTTTTGAGACAATGTGTTATGACGGCATCCATTGTCATAATATGTGACGCCTTAAAATTCGAAGGTTATTTCTCAACCCGTTGATCACACATCAACTCACGGAAGTACCTGTAAATGTCGTATAACTCGACACCACGTTATTACATACTTTTCACCAGCATTATAACCAAAACGGAAATCTGACAATCTCCATTGCACGAGAGCACTACCCAACACAAAACATGTTCACGCATTAATCGTATAACCATTTCAAAGTCCAAACCCTGTAATTTAAGACTTAGTAATTAGCCATTTACATCATTTAAAGAAGAGGGCTCAAGATTTGAAGGTTTGACGATGTTATATTTTCAATTTTCAATTTTTTGGAAAACATATCAGTACTTTTTACACATGGTACCTGGCAACCAGAATCATCACCGGATTTTAGAGCGTCACATAATAATTGGAGTCTCAAAAAGTATTTGTGGCAGGAACGACCATCCCAAATAATACTTATAGCAACAAATAAATTTTTTATGACTGCACTACCATCATAAAAACTTTTTTTTTTCCTCCAAAACACTTTTTTCTTGACTGCAAACACTGCCGTTATAAAAAACTTTTCTCATAAGGCTCTAATTCTTATAGTTTTACTCAATATTTTTTATTTTCAATCTCTCTAATTCAAAATCGATAAGAGAGAGAATAAGAATACATAACACAATCCAAAAACACTTGAATACATTGAGTATTCACACAAAATATTTTAGAATTATCATAAGTATAATTTACATTGAGAGGGAAAGCTAGTAAACTTTAAGCATCATGAATAATTTTATGCAAAGAAAATTTTTAACCGTTAAATTACAAATGAATTGTTGTAGAACAGGTTGTAGAAAATTACTTGGAGCGAGAAGGTCCTTGATCATTTAAGTGGTTTAAAAAGCTACAACGTACTCGTAGAGGTGAAACAAGTTTAACTCAGAATTAAACGGAACCAATATCGTTTGATATAGATTAGGCCAACAATGAACTCTCCAGATCAAACCCATCATTTTGGCTATTGAATAATTGTTTTTGCCGTTTTAGAAATGTTAGAACTTTAACAATAAATCGGTATAAACTTCAATTTTCAGTGCCTTTAGTTATCGTTGAGTCCATATAACACGTGTTTTTATGTTTATTAATTAGATAATAAATTTTTTTGAATTTATTTATAAAGTTAAGGATTTGCTCCTATTTTATAGTTTAAACCTTTGAGCATTCTTATACGCATTTTCCTCATATACTACGAATTAGTCAAGTGAATAATACAATTTTTCAGAGTTTTTTTTAAATTCAAATTGTGTTTGTGTTCTATACACCAAAAAAACAAAAGTTGTTGGAGGGATTGACACTATTTTAGTTAATTACAACCACTTTTTAGGTAAAATTATTTGCAAATAACAATTGGGGGATGGGTTGATGATAGAAATAATTAATTGATAATTACTTGTAAAAATTCTCAAAGTATCACCGAGTGGGAAGTCTCGGGATCCATATTCATACTTTCCTTGTGTCCAAGCGAATATATATATATATATATCTTTAATCTTTCTCCGACAAGTAGAGAAACGTTTATATCACTCAAACTAGTTAGTCCGAGTAGAACTAAGGGTAAATCCCGAGTGCATGAACCGGTCCGTCAACAAATACACTAATTAAGTCAGGATTTACGTTTTGGTGGAAATTCAAACTTACACCAGAGAATTTGGATACGATTTATCTAAGCAATTGAGATCCGTCTTACTAACCAATTACACTTTTGTTGCCCAATAAAGTAGAACCCTTCATCTAATAATCAGGGACGGTAGTAAAATATTATGGGAGAAACTTGTGACGGTCAAATTTTTATTTAATAGGATTCATGAAAAAGTCATCACACACATCTACGCACGCTTTAGAAAATATTGGGTCAACAGATATAAACAATAAGCTTCATGATGTAATTCACTCTCTATCAACCTTAGTTGAATCTCGTCACCTTTAACTAGTAACGTTTTTTTATCTATTTTTGTATTGTTTAAACGACGTTTTTTAAAAGTGATTAGATCTAAAAAAATAAATTTAAAATTACTCATTACATGGGGATAGGTGAAAAGCTCCAATAATAACAGTAATAGAAATCATCTCGTTGACTACACTGTTAATACCTACAAACCCATCTCGTTTTCACATATCTTAAAGAATTTAAAAATATAATTTGGGGACGCAATGTATTATGATCGTTGGATTGATAGTAGAGTGTATTCAATGTTGGAACTCACTGACAATACAATAGATGTAAATCATTAAATCTTCAAATTATGTATTTATATCATTTTCTAATTCTAATATCCAAAAATTATTTTTTGGGTGTTATATTTCCTTTTTCTTACTAATGAAAATTCGACATAGATAAAGTTCTTTTATTCTATTCTTTTGCTATATTTTGTTATTTTTATATGATTAATACCTAAAAATTAATCCAACAAAAATTATAATTATAAATCATTTTTCAGTATAGTACTAAATAGTTGGTTTTATCCTCCTAGAATGTTTATCAGTGCGTGTGTGTGAGAAAACGATCGAAACGTCTGAAACGTTTCCGTTTTCAAGAATATTAAAGTGAATTAATGATAGAATCAAACTTCTAATGCTTCAAAGTGTTTTATAATGTTTCGAAGTGTTTTGTAATATTTCAATGTATTTGCACAATTATTTCATAATGTTTCAAGATATTTTAAAATAATTTGGTATAATTTGACCAAGGTTTTGAAAAAATAATTCTTTAATTTTTTATTTTTTTCATTCTATTTCCGAAACGGATCGAAACGTTTCCGAAACACGTCAAAACGTTTCCGTTTCTTAAGTGATCGAAATAATGTACCAAAATAAAATTTTGATCATTTTGAGAGAGAGAGAGAGAGAGAGAGTCTTAAATGGATCTCACACAAGGTGTTTAATTTATGTGGAAAATATGAAATGATAATTTATGTACTTATTACAATGTAGAGGAATAATTTGTGTTTAAGTTATAATGTTATCTGGCCAGTAGCCTCCTTCAAGGTCTATATAAGTTTGAGGGAGGGGGGGGGGGGGGGGGGAAGGGGGGTGTTCTTGGTAGCCTCTTGGATATCATTACCAGATCCATATATGCATATTTGGGTTTTGCAACCCACAACCCCAACAACCACATCTCTTCTTTGCTTTTTTTTTATACCATCTGAAGCTGAATATTAAGGGCGGGGTAAGTTTTCTGTCCCATAAAGATATCCCAACCTTTTTCTTATCTGTTTATACTGCACCACCCCTTCTCTACATGGTAATAAACACCCAACAGCTATCTGTCTACCTATATTACTTTTCAAGGATTAAATCAAAATTTATAATTTTTTTAGTTCAAGTTATAATCGTCTTTTGGGTCAAGTTGCAACAAAATGTGGTGTTTTAAATTGATTCTACCGTACTTTGGTGTTGAAGTTTATCGTCTTTTTAATTTAAAAAACACACTTTTTAGGGTCAAATTACGATTAAAAAAAATTAGAATTAACCTAATAAAATATAATTTTGAGATAAGGTACATAGTTTTTTTGGTGTTTGGGGTTAATCCGAATAACCTAAAAAGAGGCTGCAGCTTGATTTTCTGGGTTTCACTTACACTAGGGTTCTTTTTGGATGTACGTGGTCCTGCATGTGAGTGGAGGGAGCGATATCAAGGATGCACATGGTAATAAAACTTGAGAAGCACGTCACGACACACACAACACATGTTTTTTGTGTGTTTGGGGGTGTGGGGGACTGGGACATACTACTTATTAAGGATTATAGGTACACCCTCTCTTTTTTTTCAACCGTTCAAGATGTCTACTAATCTTTTCTATGATCCGATTCGGTCATCTACGTTAAGATTAGAGTAAAAGTCTAATCGTAAGAGTTTATCAAAATTCGAACTCAGAATAGTAAGTTTAGAGTTTGTTTATGTTGCCATTTAAGCTACTCTTAAATTATATTTATGCATATACATGTTTATTTACATATATGCAGTATCACCATCAACAATAGCAGCAGTACAACAAAGTTGATTTTCATTGAAAAATGTGGAGATTGAAGATCGCAGAAGGGGGTAATGACCCTTATTTGTACAGCACCAACAACTACATAGGTCGGCAGATATGGGAGTTCGACCCAAACTATGGCACCCCTGAAGAGCGAGCCGAGGTTGAAGAGGCTCGTCTTCAATTCTGGAACAATCGTTACCAGGTCAAACCTAGCAGTGATCTCCTTTGGCGAATGCAGGTCCTACTCTCTCTCTCTCTCTCACAGTTCACTGTGAAACCAACACCAACCTATTGTAGAACTGATAGTCCCCGTATTAAAATGCAATGGTATTCTTTCATACCATAGGATATATATGGAAATTAAATAGCAAAAAATGAAGTTGTGAAAAAAGTGGCATTATTGATTGGCTTAAATGGAACACTACAAATGAACCTAATTGTTCATAAACAACCCAAGATCGACTCAAATTAAAGCTTCTTTGTATTTGTTTATTTATAATTGAAACTGAACTCGAGTTCAATCTTAAATCTCATTTAATGAATATGTTGAGCTTCTGCACGACTTATTAAATTTTTTGTCTAGACTTGTGAACAAATTGAAAACCCACATTTAGGGTTGATAATCGAACGAGCTCGAGTCGAGCCTTTCGAGTTTACTTTTTTGAAATGAGACGAGACTAAATGAGCCGAATTTGAGTCGAACCTGAATATTTAGACATAAATGAATTTAGTCTATCGAGTTCGTTTTCTAAAAAATTGTTCAAATTTAACTTATTTAAAGCTGGGTCAACCCTATATTATAAAAACAAAAGCAGGGCTTTAGGCCCCACATACGAAAAGACCTCAAATTTAAAAATCAATAATATAATATAAGTTAAAAAATAAAATTTATTACAATATTGCTTAAAAAATTAATTGTTGAAAGAGTAAACCAACAAAAAAATTAAAAATTTGAGCCCAAAAGTTCAAACCTCCTCACACAATCAAATTTATTAAACAACAAAAAAGATTAACAAAAAAAATTCTGACAAAATCTATCTATTTTTCCAATCAAAAGAAGTGTAATAAACATCTCTCTTAAGTGAAAAATAAATAAAATCAAACACATTTTTACTTCTCTTAAACTTGATTGTTTATTTCTTATTTGAACGCAAAATACCAATTAAACCATTCATTCTCATTAAAAAAAATGTTTTGATAAAGTTCTTATTCGCAACAAATAAAATATAACACAAATTTAGGTGAAAGTTACATGGATAAATAAATAAAATTCAAAGATAGTAAAATAATTTAAAAGAAAGATAACAATGAATTTATTTATAATAAAGTCAATCATTTAATTGCACAATTTCGATAAAGAACATATAAAACAAATAAAAAGAACGTAAAAAATATTAATAAAGAAATTAATTTTATTCTTATAAATATTTATGATCAAAAGTCATATTATTAATTAAAAAATTAAATTAGAAAATTTTAAATAAAAAAATTGTAATTTCGAATCTGATCAAAAAGTAAAAATAATAGAAATATTAAATTATTATTAAAAAAATATAAAAGTATTATTAACCGTCATTGCTTTAGGCCTCAAATATTGTTGAGCCACCCTTGGTTTAAAAAACGAGTTAAACCTAAACGAACGTAAAACAAGTCGAATTTGAGTAGCTCAGTTCGATGATCAGCTCTCCCCTCGATATACATAAACAATTCACCCACATAAAGATACCAAATACTTGGCTTGGTTCATTTCTCTTTGGTCCCTTTAAAGACAAATCAAATACTTTGATGGCAGTAGGAATAGGATGAAGTGGTACTAAATTATACTAATTCTTACATTTTATTATACCCAAGAAAAAAATCATATTAAATCAAAAATATAGATGTTTGTACCCTAGTTAAAGGCATAATTTGGAAAAAACAATTACAACCTAATCCAAGTTCAAGCCAAAATCTTCAATACTAGGTAGGGGTGTCAAACATGTTGAGTTAAACGGTTACATGTCGGTTAAACGGATGATAAGTGAAAAATATATAAACTCGTACACAACACGTTTAATAAACGGATAAAAAATTTTAACACGAACACGACTCATTTAATAAATGGGTAATACGACACGACTCTTTAACCCGTTTAAATTTAAAAAAATTATATAAACAAATTTTAATACTCCACTTTTTTTTATTGTCAATTGCACTTACCTCAAAAAAGATGAATTTTTAATCAAATCTCATAAAAATAAGATTTGAAAGTTTTTTAAAAAAAAAAAAAAACAAAAGGTCATTACTTTTTATAGGCAATTCAACCCTCCCCATCCCCCCTTATTTTCCAATGTGGTTTGCCTTTATCTTTGAAGTGCTCCTCATCTTCTCTCTTTTGTCTTTAAACTACTATTTTACTTTTTTTTTAATTAATTTCTTTTTTTCTTGTTAATTTTTTAAAATAATTATTAATTTATTATTATATTAATTTTATTTAAATGAGTAAACGTGTGATAAACGGTTTAACAGGTCTCACCCGAACACGACCTGTTTATTAAACGTGTTTAGTGTTTCAACCCATTTATCACTCAAATCCGTTAAAATCTCACTCAAACCGGTTTAATTCGTGTTAATTAATCGTGTTACGTCAAATTTTGACACCTCTAATACTAGGGTACATATTTCTAATGCCTGAGTTAGTTTGGGAGTAGAAAAAAAAAATCTCAGCCCAACTTAAAAACGGATAGGACTTGAATTGAGGCCTCATGCTTTTGAAACATAACCCGAATTCAACTTTAGTTAAATCGAAATTCACCTCAAATCACGTAATATGAGACTCAAATATGAATTGAATCTAATTTCAACTCAAATTCAAATCATTCAAATTTTTAAATATAGACAATACTATAGGTTGAAAGGTTTGGTTGGCCAGCTTGGTTTGTATCTATAAAACAGTTTTTTGTTTTTTTGATATGAAAAATAAAAAGAAGTTGTTTGGATAATAGAGTTTTGTATCAAGTTTTTGAAAAACTAAGAATAAAAAGTCAAAATTTTAAAAAAACACTAGTTTTTAGACATATACAGTTTCAGAAAAAATTAAAAAACACAAGATATAATCTATTGTCTCTGTTAAAAAAAAAAAAACTTAAAGATATCATTTAAACGGGATTTTTTTTCTCTCCCATCCATGGCTTACTTTGCTTTCAAGCAAGCACAATTGATTCCTTCAAATCTCTTAGTCTCATCCGAAACTTCAGGCATTCAAGTGGCACAAGCAAACAAGAAGATGTTTGATCGACTTCAAACAAACTCATAAATATGGTTTTTTTTTTTTTTATGTGCTTTGTGTTTTCTCACAGATTAATTTAGCATATTTTCTTTGATTTTTTCCTTAGATCTAATCTAATGCAAACCAGAAATTTGGGATCTATGTCATTAGTTTTATTTAACAGTGAGGAGAAGGATAACATCGTTGCTGTATGTTTAATTTTTGAAGTTATTTTTTGTTGGTTGAGATCTATCTATGAATATTCAATACTTGTCTTTCATCATCGATTTTTTATTTTTTGTAAATTTTCTTGAGTTAATTTCTAGCATCAGGAAATGCAATGTTAAGAGTTTAGTGCTAAATATTGTTCGTCCACATGTTGTATAATATTGGCTGAGAAAAAAAAAATGTGATAACACACAAGACCCCTACCTTCACCCTCATGCTCTTTTTCAAAAATTTTTTACCAAAACTTCAATTTAAATTATATCCTATATTTTTATTATTTTTGGAATTATTGTCCAAACACATTTTACTATTTTTATCTTTTAAAATTGTATTTGAAATCATATAACTATATATCGGACTTGACTATAGTACTGGGAAAAAAAAATCGGTATTGTACCTTCATAATTTACTAATTCAATATGTGTTTTTATAACTTTGTGGGTCATATTACAGCCAAAAAATTTATTATTTTTGTAAATATTTTTATCATTGTTGTAATAATTATTTTTATGATTTTTTTCGGTATAAAAAAAATTACTATATTGTGGGTGTTTTTACCACTATTGTAGTGTTTTTAGAATAAATAGCAATTTGCACCCCAAAAGATTAAAATGATTTTAATTTGTAGTCTCAAAGATCAATTGTTACAAATTGTATCCTCAATTAAATTAAGAAAAATATTACATTGTCTAAATGAAACTCAGAAGTTAAAACTCAAATACATATTATTTTTTGGATAATTGTTAGATGAGTAGGCCCCGCTAAAAAAATTTAAGTAGAGTACGTTTGCCAAATTTAAAAGGTATGAATATAATTTATTAATAAATATATTAACAGATATTTTATATTATTTAATAGCAAATGTAATTATTTAATATTTCAAATATCCGCGTAATCTCAGAGTGCGTAATTCTCCCTATTGCTAATGTATGGAAGTCTGTTGAACTAAAAGCTTGAATTTATGGAAAATCATGTTTGAAATTTGTTGTTAGTGTTTGGATTTCTTATTGACACCCAGTACCATCATTCATCTATGTGTTTCCGCCATGATCGCAGTTCCTTAGAGAGAAGAATTTCAAACAAACTATTCCACAAGTGAAGGTTGAAGATGGTGAGGAAATTACTTATGAAATAGCCACATCCACGCTGAGGAGGGCTGTCCACTTCTTTGCAGCCTTACAAGCCAGTGACGGTCATTGGCCAGCCGAAAATGCTGGCCCCTTGTTCTTCCTACCACCATTGGTGAGTGAGTCTTCTCTCAATTGTCATGCTGTGTTGTACTTGTCGATTTCATTTCTCATTTTATCACCATTGCAGAATAACAGACACATACATTGACATCTCTTGTCATTTGGTGTTGATTGGTAAGAAAGAGGAGAGATATTCAGAATCTCAGATTTTTGTTTGGAAAATGGTTGGAATTTTTCGTAATGGGGTGTGGGTTGGGATTCGGTTTGTTTGACAATTGGTTGGATTGGGTTAGGGTTTGGTGAAAGGAATAGGGTTATTCCGGGTAAGCAAAAGAGTAGACCTAGAAAACACTTACAATCAACAGGGGTTTAGATAATATATTGGTATTCGATGAAATAGCCCCAAATAATGATGGGGTGTTACCTTCCAAACAATGAGGGGGTGTCGGATTCGGGTCCGGCTCCTCAGCATCGTGTTGTATTAAAACAACGTCGTTCTATTTAACAAAACAACATCGTTTTGAAACAAAACTCAACAATACTTCTGCTGTTAATTTTCTAATAGCAGAGGATCCTCACCCATCGGATTCAGGTTTGGGTCCGATTGGGTTTGTTTAACAATTATATTTGATTTTGTATTAGTTGGGGTTTGAGTTAGGTTGTTTGAGAATTGGTTTCATTTTGTATAGTTGATTAAATCTGTCACATTAGGTTCAAATATTTTATTAACTTAAATGCCACAATTAATTCTCATATTTTTCTTTTGGAAACCGAAAAATGCAGGTTATGTGCTTGTATATTACAGGGCATCTTACCACTGTATTCCCAGCAGAACATCGCAAAGAAATTCTTCGGTACATCTATTGTCATCAGGTAAATTTTTTTATGATCTGATCATTGTATAAGATGCCGAAATTCAACTAGAGTTTGTCAAGCAGTTGCACCTACATTATCATCTGAAGTACATCTCCCATTACAGAATGAAGATGGTGGCTGGGGATTTCACATCGAGGGCCATAGTGTCATGTTCTGCACCACTCTCAGCTACATTTGTATGCGTATTCTTGGAGAAGGACCTGACGGTGGTAAAAACAATGCCTGTGCTAGAGCGCGAAAATGGATTCTTGACCATGGTAGTGTGACAGCAATACCTTCCTGGGGCAAGACATGGCTTTCGGTATGGTCATTTAAGAATTCACAATAAGTTTTGTCATCCAAAGGAAAAAAAAAACTCTTAAGATTGTTGTGTCTGATGCCTGCAGATCAAATCTTATACATTCATTGTTCTATGTTTTTCAGATACTTGGAATATTTGATTGGTCTGGGACCAACCCAATGCCCCCAGAGTATTGGATGCTTCCTTCATTCCTTCCTATACATCCAGGTTCACTCAGTTTTCCAAAACTAATCTCAGCAATCATTTTAAGATAATTTGGCTCCATTGCAAACGGATGATCTCTTGCTTTCGATTAGGAAAGCTGTGCCTTTTCAAACTGTAATTAGCTGCAATCTTTGTTTTGGTTTATTTTCACTTATGTTTTCCTTTGTTGCAGCAAATATGTGGTGCTATTGTCGGCTCGTTTACCTGCCCATGTCATATTTATATGGGAGAAGGTTTGTTGGCCCAATCACTCCCCTTGTTTTACACTTGAGAGAAGAACTTTATGCTCAACCATACCATCAAATTAATTGGAGAAAAGTACGCCATGTGTGTGCAAAGGTATGTCTACTAAAATTTAAGATGCTGATGTCTGCATTTGTTTTTACTTGATGCTGATCTCTATCATTACGTCATTTTCCCAATCTTTATACATGTTTCTACATTCACATGAAATGACTGCAAACTTCTTGCAGGAGGACCTCTACTATCCTCATCCCTTAATACAAGATTTACTATGGGACAGTCTCTATGTATGCACTGAACCTTTTCTGACCCGTTGGCCCTTTAACAAGTTGAGAGAGAAAGCTCTTCAAACGACAATGAGACTCATACACTATGAAGATGAGAATAGTCGATACATAACCATTGGATGTGTGGAAAAGGTAATGTAGCTGTGATATGAACAAGATTATCTATGAAAATGTAGATGCCCATGTGGCACTATATGTGTACTTGCTATCTGTGGTTTCTTTTATTAAATACTGCTTGATTTGAGCAGGTATTATGTATGCTTGCTTGTTGGGTTGAGGATCCAAATGGGGATTACTTCAAGAGACACCTTGCTAGGATCCCAGACTATATATGGGTTGCTGAAGATGGAATCAAGATGCAGGTTAGAACGAAAGTCCAATCACCATCTTTGAAATGTGTCTCAATATATCCGCTCAAATATGTAACTGAGAATGAAGTTGTTTCCAACTTTATTCATCTGACTTTTGAGGCTATGTTCATGTGCTCATTTATGTTTTTTGTGTCATAACACAATGCTAACTTTTCGTTCTAGTATTGTTGGTTGGAACTTCTGAGTTTCCTTGTTGATGCTTGAATGCAGAGTTTCGGTAGTCAACAGTGGGATACCGGGTTCGCCATTCAGGCACTGCTAGCTTGTGACCTCACTGATGAAATTGGACCTACACTTTTGAAAGGACATGATTTCGTGAAGCAGTCCCAGGTATCAGTGTACATTTTGTAGAACATTTCTTTGTTGTACTTGGCATTACAACTTTTCTCTTATAAGTATCTTTTTGACTCGATTGTTTAACACTATCCACAAAATTTTTGCAGGTCAAGGAAAATCCTTCTGGCGACTTTAAGAGCATGTATCGCCACATTTCTAAAGGATCATGGACCTTCTCAGATCAAGATCATGGATGGCAAGTTTCTGATTGCACTGCAGAAGGACTTAAGGTACACAATTTTTTGCAGAACCCTCACTCAAATCTAAGGCTGCAGCAATAACTTATTACCACTATAAGATAGTCTCTCAATAATCTTTTTTGTTTCCCAATTTTTGTTGTTCAGTGTTGCCTCCTTTTTTCGTTGATGCCACCAGAAATTGTTGGTGAGAAAATGGGACCTGAGCAACTATATGATTCAGTTAATATACTGTTGTCTCTACAGGTATGCCCTTTGGTCAAGGTCTCAACTCATTTTTTTTGACAAAATTCTCTTGAACCCTTGAAATGTTTCAATGATACAATAAACCAAGGCTTTCTTTTTTCTCATATTACACTTATAGAATTGTGCTCCAGAATTGACATGAGAAGCGAGTATTAGTAAGTATATATTTTAAATGAATTATGACAGAGCAAAAATGGTGGTTTATCAGCTTGGGAGCCTGCAGGAGCTTACAAATGGTTGGAGGTATATTCATCAACTTACAAATAATCTTCATATTTGCCACTGTGGCAGTGTGAATTGAATTTTCCATTTTCTTTTGTTTCATCGCAGCTGCTCAATCCTACAGAATTCTTCGCAGACATTGTCATTGAGCATGAGTAAGATTCATTATGTTTGTTTAAATTTTTTTACTCTCCACATTCTATGCGAATTAGTGAGACTTACCAAATAGTGATATAGGTATGTTGAGTGCACTTCATCGGCAATCCAGGCTCTGGTCTTATTTAAAAAGTCATATCCTGGACACAGGAAGAAAGAGATTGAAAGTTTTATTACACACGCTGTTAGGTACCTTGTTGACATACAGATGCCTGATGGTTCATGGTATGCTTCTCCTCTGAAGTACTACTGATTCTATTTATGTTCCAGTTTCAAATTTTTTCCCTTTTAAAGGACACGAAGAAGCAATTTACAGGTATGGAAACTGGGGTGTGTGCTTCACATATGGCACCTGGTTTGCTCTTGGAGGTCTGGCAGAGGCAGGCATGACATACAATAATTGTCCAGCTGTCCGTAAAGCAGTTGATTTTCTGCTAAAAACACAGAGGAATGATGGCGGTTGGGGAGAAAGCTACGTTTCCTGCCCAAACAAGGTAATGGTTGTGCCCAAACAGTTCAAAATATAAATGATGTTCAATACCAAAAGAGTGATGTAATTTGACTTAGTTGATGTTGTGATAGCATTAAATGATGTTCAATACTCGCTGGGGGTATTGTCTGTGCCTCTCACAATTCTCTCCCTAACTTTAAACTCATAAACTTGATGCTTGATTAAACAGGAATATACTCCTCTAGAAGGAAACTCATCAAATTTGGTACATACTGGATGGGCTATGATGGGTCTCATTCACTCTGGTCAGGTTAGTTTGCTGCTTTGATACTATGTAGTTCACATGTTCTCATATTATTATTTTGTTTTGTTTCAATTTTTTTTTATTGTTTTTTTTTTGGGGGGGGGGGGGGGGGGGGAGGAGGGTAGACATTTACCATTGGGTCATTCCATCACCTCATTATTATCATTATATATGCTCTTTTTTTAACAAAAAAATATTGATTCCAATGTTTTCTATTTGGTAGGAGGGGAGAGACCCAACACCTCTTCACCGGGCAGCAAAGCTGTTGATCAATTCTCAGATGGAAAATGGCGATTTTCCCCAGCAGGTAAACTAGATGAACAACTTAGCACCAAAGAAATTGAAAGAAAAAGAACTATAACATGAGAATATCAAAAAAGGAACTATTACCGGGACATAATACATGTTGCTGCACTATGCAATGATTTATCAGTCATATACAATTATTTGAAGAAATCAAACATCTCAGGACATGTTGTTTTCAATGTTAGCCAAACGGAGTTGTAATTGCTTAAATATTGAGATACTTTTATTTCCTCTCGAGAAAAAATAAGAGTTAATAACATTTTTGGTCCCTAAAGTATGCACGTTTAGTCAGTTTAGTCTCTAAAGTATCAATTTTGTTAATTTGTGTTTAAATGATCGCTATATAGACAGACCGTTAAGTTTTTGACAGAATGATCACGTGTTGGACAAGTGATACGTCTGAAAGAATGACACGTGATTATTTCCGTCAAAAAACTTAATGAATTATCTAATTAGGAACCAAAGTACAAATTAAAACTTTAGGGACCAAATTGAGAGAATCAAACTGGCAAAACAGATATACTTTGGGGACTAAAAGTGTTATTAACCCAAAAAATAAGGAAAACAAGTGGACAGAAAATAGCAGATTTGCTTGGACATGAAACATGTAGCTGCATTCTAATTTTTTTAATGGACAAATTACACTTT